GCTTGAAACACAAAAATATGCAAAGTCAGTAAACCACTCATGGACAGCTGTTTCATTGTTAATGCAAATTATCAGTCATGAGGTTGGTTACTGAAATATATATATTTCTTTTTCTGATATAAAATATTGGTCCTTTCAGAGTAAAACATTTAATTATACAGTAAGCATACTCAGATGCAGACACAGACAAGTTCAACTGACACACAAAAGCTCACCCACTGTATTCCTCACACACTGTGCCCCTCACACACTGCATCCCTCACAACCACACACACTGCACCACTCACAACCACAAGCACTGCATGCCTCACAATCACACACACTGCACACCTCACAATCACACACACTGAACCCCTCACAATCACACACTACACCCCCACACACTGTATCCCTCACACAATGCAACTTGCACAATCACACACTGCACCCCACACCCCTCATAATCACACACACTACATCCCACACACCCTGCACCCCTCACAATCACACACTCTGCACTGCTCACAAACACACACACACACACATACCCTGAACCCCTCACACACACACACACACACCATGCACCCCTCTCTCTCACACATTCACACGCACACACACACTCTGCACCCCTCTCTCTCACACACACACACACCCTGCACCCCTCAAACATACAAAAGGCACCATTCACACACACATCCTGCACCCCTCACAAACACACACACACCCTGCAACCCTCAAACATACACACTGCAACCCTCACTACACTACACCTCCTAATCTCCCACTACTGCCCATATCCCCTTCTACAGGCCCAATACTGGAAGATCCCAGGTAAGTTGTCAAACTGTTCTTAAGCAGTTTGACTACTTTCTCTGGGAGGGCACCATGGTACGTCTGGCACCATAACCACTACAGAGGACTCACCAGCCCCCGGCTCCTCCCTCTTTACTCCCCTGACACAGGGTGGCACAGTCCGAGGGGAAAATACTTACATTACATTATTAGCATGATGATAAGGGCTGTCTGCCTGGCCCCAGGTGCTGCGGCCCACCGGCGAATTTCCCGGTATCCCGGTGGGCTAGTCCGGCTCTGGTACAAGTAAGGATTGGCATATAATGGGCAATGAGAGGAGTTAATTATTAATTGTATAAATATGTAGAAACTAAACCGGTTATTTACTAAGCATCAGATTTGGTCCTGATGAAAAAACCCAGTGAAAATGGACACATTCTGACCAGAATGGCAATTCTCATATTTACTAAAACCAATACCTGTCAGAATTTGGCCATCCCAATTGAATATGCACTAACTGACCAGATTAATTCAATATACCGTTTAAAATCTATACTTTTTTGCATCGAAAACCCAATACAAAGTATAGGATTTGTAATATTCACAAAGCACTGATTTTAAACAAAAACACAAATTAGGTGGTGAGCACTCACAATAAATATACAAGTAACCTCAGGATCCATTATGAAATATATGGTAATTCAGCACACCTTCTTAGTAGTTGTATTCCATTATTTTCAGTGCATAGGGAAAGGCAACATTTTGGCTAATTTATTAGCCTTTGTCAAGTTATCATACATAGTGCTGTGTATCCCTTATATAGGGTAAAAAAAAATCAATCAGCAGGAAAAGGTGCGGTCATCACTGCTTTCTATGTTGTCCTCATGTGAGTAATATGTACATCAGAAGAAGTATTTGTGTAACAGTTTACAATACATCTTAGCATTTTCGCTAGTTTTCATGACCAATCTGATGACTTAAATGCTCGTTTATTGTTCTATACAGATGTATGCTGTTTTGTTGTTCTGTTTCCTAGCAATGGAACCTGACGACGTCACACGCAACGGGCGTGACGTCTGACGTCATCCCGTACGCATTTGCCAAACCAGGAAGTGATTGGAATTGCTGAAACTGCCGGGGACTCAGAGATTCACCACACAGCTGCATTCTTTCTTTGTATAGTTACTGGGGGGGCAGCACTTCTGTTAATGTAAAACACTTGTTTTCGGTATATATACTGCCATTATTACTTGTACTCATTAGGATATTTGCAATGAGAAAGTACTTGTGCCCAAAACGTCTGTTACCTGTATTGTGCCCTCTAATAAATTGCAGTAGCACCTGGGTGTGCACAACCTAGCTGAATGCGCAGGACTCCATTTTTTCTTTGTTTGCTGTATTACACTGCTGAGACTACAGTGTGGAGCTCCTGCAGCTCAGGACTAATTTATTTATTTTTCTACTGTGTCTGTGTAGGTATGTGATTTGCCTCTACCTCATCCTATGCATAGTTGTCACTCAGAATTACATCACATGATCAAGAAACCATGGTAACCCATGACAAAAGTTATCAATTTATTTGTTTGTTTTTTTTTTAACATAAGATTTCAAAATCCTTAAAAAGCCAGTAAAGCCAGTAAATCACACACTGCAAGTTCTGATGTTGGATTGAATCAGTATTCAAAAATATGCAGCCAAAGCACTCTGAAACGGAACTGTTGATATTTTTTTTTCTTTTATGTGAAGGTGTGATGGAACTTTGAAAACATGTGAGGTAATAATCGTAATCTTGCATATGAAGGATATATGCAGAGTTGGTAAGTATTACACATTTTTTGTCCAAAGGACATTTATTGTGTACATAATTTATTTTTACAGAAGGAAACTTTTTATTCTAGCAATTCATGCTTTCATTTTTTTTTTTTTAAAGTTACCTTGATCTATAGAGTTTTATTACCATAGTATCAGTTAATCAAGCAAGAATATGGTACTGTTAATTTAAATGTGTCCATACCAACAACCCTCTATGGAGTCAAATGAAAATCACAAAGGATTGTGGTACATTTTGTCAGACATTTTTAACATAATACATTGTATGTTGTCCGTCACCATCTCAAGCTATGTTGAATACACTATCTGTTTAAAAAAGGGAAACAGTAAATAGGTAGTCATATTGCCTTTAGTGACAATGTATTTTACTCCCTAATATGCAAATTATAAACTATATGGTCCATTTTGGAAATTATAAAAGTGGGATAAACAATTTAGATTGGCCTTTAATAGTTTATCTTACACTCCCATCTAGTGGCCATTATAAATAATTCAGGTTAAAATTTTTGATAAAAGACCTTTCATGAAATACAATTATCCTACAAGTTTAATGAACATTTGTTTTATATGATGTCATGTGAAACCACATCATGCGAATGTCTTCGTATTTCCTGTACTGGTTGGGGTATGTGTATTGTATACGCTGATGACTTCCAGCGACCTAGAGTTTTATTGACATCTCGATGCCATAGATGCGACCCCCTATCCTAAATGAACGTCCTGAAAAATGGCTAGGCTTGTCTTGTTAACAATAACCGTACATATAACATGCACATAGAGGTAGTGAGGATGGCCCTATGAAGTGACAGTAGCGGAACAAATACGATATTCGGTATAGTGAGGAGGAAGGAATCAAAAAGCTTCACCGGGCACCATATAATATTCGTGGGATAGTATGGAATGTGGACGGGTTGACCCAGTTGACTCGTTTTGGTCGCGGGTAGAGTTGGAATGTAATGATCTTGATGTTAAATTAGGTAGGAGCTTCAAAGGCAACCTTGTGCATTGTGTTGGCCACTGATGGCGAATTCTCGTGGCATCATGGTTTTAATGAGAGTTAGTGAGGATTTGAAAGGGGCTGAAGCCAGCAAATCAGACATATTTTGCATACCCTTAAGTATAGTCTGATTGGATAGGATGAAAGGAAACTGTCGTTGTTGGAAAGTAGAGAAACATATGATTTTGGATGCCAGTCAGGCGTAACTTGATGGTATAGTGAGATAGCTTAAGTTGAAGGTGGCAAAAAGAGTAGTGAACACAACTAGAAACGTAATAACCAACATTATGGTTACTACCTGTGATGTGAATAGTAATGGAGAGACTTGGTGACAGCAATTGTAGGGAGACCACTAAGGACACAATTTGAAATACCTTAGAACCTGGAGGAGGGGGGGGGTGGAGCGATGACGTAGGACGTGAACGCGCGGGTGCGCACGTCCTTGCACGCGGAGATGCTGGCGCCTTAGGGAGCTGAGCCCCAGGACGCCTGATCGGACGAGACCTGCGAGACCTGCTTGAAGCTGCCTTGCTGCCTTGCTGACTTGGTGACTTGGAGCTGCGTGAAGCTTGAAGCTCGAAGCCGACTTCGTATAAAATTGAAGCCGGAATTACGAGGAAGGAGAGCGGAAAGAAGAGAGAGGAGGACGGGGGTCAGACGAGTCTAGCCTGAAGCAATCGTTGCACCAACAGCCACTGTATGGGTAAGTGGAGCGATATTCAGCAAAAGCTTCACTGTTACACCTTGGAAAAGCTGTTCGGTAGTGAATTTATGAGAGTGAATATAAAAGTCAATTGTTGTTAACACTTAATATTCTAAGACTTACAAAAAAAAAAGAAAGGGAAAGTGAAGGGGAAAGAAAAAAGAAAAAGAAGAGGAGAAAATATATATATTCATTCTCCATATCCATCTCTGCACTGTGGAACGTGTGTAATTGATTGCTTGTATCCTGACAGGCTATGGTGCTTTAAGTATCCATAAAAAGATATTTGACTCAGCTGACTATCATAAAAAGTAAAATACAAATATTACCAAGACAATATTTTGTAAGACTGTCGAAGATAAAGCAAAGAGATAACAATTAAGACTACAAAAGAAAACAGGAAAAAGCAAAACAAGCTTAAAAAACAAGCTTAAGTGTTTAAAACTATTAATTTGTTTCAACTAAATATGATAGTTTAAGCAGAAGATAATAATTTATAAATGAAGAGTTTAATTGGAAGAAGATAAAGGAGCAAAGTTAAGTGAAAAATAAAGCGAAGAAAAGAAAGCGCAATTAAAGCACTATAAGTACCAAAGGCGTGGAACAAGCCTTAACATCATAAAGGTCCGTTTGAATCTGGCTTAAAGGAGAATTTTTTTTTTTTTTCTTTTCTTTCTTTTTTTCTTCTCTTCTCTCAAGATGACCACTAGGAAAGGGCAAGATAATAAACAGCCCATGAAAAGAGAAAGAAAGTTAGAATGCAAGTCAGTTAGAAGGCTCTCTTCGTCAGTTCCGCCGCAAATACAGAAATTGGAATTAAATCAACAACAAAATATATCAGATTCCTCCTCTCAATCATTTAAAGAAGTAGAACATCTTTCTCCAAAGGGCATATCCTCAAACTTAAGTCCAAGAGAATATAACACGGATGAATTACATATTTATCTTGAGTCCTGTTTTGAACGGCAACTTGAGAAAATTAAAAAGGAGATACATGACGGCCTGCTGGAATTCAAATTGGAGCTATCACAGATGGAAAAAAAACTCAAGCAGTACGAAGGAAAAGTAGAATCAATGGAATTTCAGCAAGCAACAACAGAAGATATCACGAGAAAGACAAATAAAAAGATAGAGGATATGGAACTCAAAACTGCAGATCTGGAAGATCGTTCCCGTCGCAATAATTTAAGAATCAGGGGAATCCCAGAATCTGTCAATAGTGACAAATTGCAAGATCATATTAGGGAGATTTTCGCACAATTGGGTATACAAACGACAAATTCATCAAATTTCCTGGAAAGAAGTCACAGAGTTATGAAACCGGAATATGTGGATCAAAGTAAACCTAGAGATGTGATGATCTGCTGCTCGTCTTATAAATTGAAAGAACAAGTTATAAAAGCATCAAGACTTACTAAGTTGAAGGATCCACATAGCGACATCAGGATTTTTCCAGATATCTCCTATCACACTAGGATTAAAAGAAAATCGTTTGCAAACTACACAAAGATCCTGCACCAGAAGAATATTAGATATGTATGGCGATATCCCTGTAAGATTATCGTTTCGTATGAAGCAAGAACATATTCCTTTTCAGACGTTACAGAAATTTCAAATTGGTTCAGAGAGCAGAATTTTCAATTGGACATTTAAGGAGATGAGGATAAAGGACGCAGGAGAGAAGCTGTATAATTGGAAAACGAAGGTGTTTTTTTTTTTTTTTTTTTCTCTTTCTCTCCCCCCCTTCCTGGCTCTATTACCTATACCTGATCTAAGGGGAAGATAAAGAAGACGAAGATAGACTCTGTTAATTGACAAAATCTAAATTGTTATGCACTAGGAGGGTTTTTTCTTTGGGGATGATTGTACATGCAAGTATTTTTTTAGTTAACGTAAGATACTAGATGTTTATACAATTGGTTCATAAAGTCACTATTGGTATCAAAGAGGTGGTTGCTGTTCCCGATATGCACTGTAATAATAGGATGCAAAATAATGATTAAGGAACGATAAGTATAATAGTCACTATATATGAAGCAATTTTACTGAAGAAGGAAACGGGAACAAATAATTATTAGAATAGAGGAGGAGGGATATTGAATTTGCCTTAGAAAGAGTTTGAGAGGGAGATTTGAGGGTAAAACTTTTTTTTTGTGATAGTCCACAAACGAGCACTGATTTTTAGAGGAGAATTTAAATAATTAAGTTTCAAAACACAGCTTGCTAATTTTATGCTGGATTTCACAAAACGAGTGTAAATGAATAAGTCACTGTTATTGTTATAAAAGTTATAAGAATACTGAATTAAATAGAGGTACTGAAGGGGTAGAAAGACAAAGGCTGATAATTGTTGTAAGGGGTTGTTTAATCATTAAGGTTTATGTTGGATTGCATGATAATTTATGTTTATTAGAAGTGGAAGAATATAATGGGCCGGGTATGAAGCCTGAGACCATCTAGGAAAAGAGAGGGCAAGAGGAGGAAGAAGGATTAGGTAGAGATTGACAAGATTTTTTATTTTTTTATTTTTTTTCTCTCTTTATTGTTAATTATGTAGAGTACCAATCGGGGTCCTAAATTTATTATCGGGCTCAAATACTCTCCAAAAGGGGTAGTTCAGTATCATTATAATGATCCTATATTGGATCTATGTGGAGGTTCTGTGAAAGAGGGAACATCACAGGTCCATCCATACTTCCTTTAAGGGATGTTTCTTATAAATGTGGTTGTGAATGTAAATGTTTTGTGGTTTTTTGATTGTTATAAGTTGACGATGATGCAAATATATGAACTAGTAAAAAAAGACACCTATCCTAAAGGAGATGTGACTCTGAAAAGAGGTAAAAAGGGAAAAAAAGAGAGAGGAGAAGATAGGGGAAGGAGAAGGGAAGAAAAGAGAAAAAGATAAGATAAATTCTCTATGTTTAATGTAGTTTCTATTAATGCACAAGGCCTGAATTCTCCACAAAAAAGGAAACTCCTAGCTGACCATATTAGAAGAGAAAATGCGCAAGTTGTAGGTATTCAAGAGACCCATTGGAGAAGAACAGAAGAGGGGAAATTTAGATTTAAAGATTTCCCTAGTTCGGTATGCTCTTCCTGTAAAGATAAAAAAAAGAGGGGAGTAGCTATTTTCTTCTCTTCAACATTAAACGTTTCGATTATCTATTCTAAGATTGATCCGATGGGAAGGTGGATTATTTTAGTATGCACAATAGAAGATAAACTTTATACATTTGCTAATATTTATGCCCCAAACACCTCTCAGATACAGTTTTTATATAATTTTTTTGCGTAACTAAATAAAATCAAACAAGGCCATAATTTAGTTATGGGCGACTTCAATTTGGTAACTGATCCCAATATGGACAGACAGTCTGAAAAGTCTAAAATTCCCTCGAGGAATGCTATAAATCAGACAAAAAAATAAATAAAATAAAAAATTCAGGAATATAATACAAAATGAAGCTCTTTATGATTGCTGGAGGATTTTCCACCCTACAGAGAAAGATTTCACATGCTTTAGTAAGACTCATTGTTCTTATTCAAGAATTGATTTCATACTTGGAGATCGAAATCTGATAGAAAATGTGGAATCTTCTAATATAATCACGGTAACATGGTCTGATCATAATATGGTCAAAATACAATTAAAGAATAAATTTTTAAAGCAAAGGCCAGATTGGAAATTAAATGACAAGTTATTAATACCTAAAATTAATAGGGAACAGATTGCAAAGGCTATAGACCTGTATTGGCAGGATAACGACAACAACGAAGTGTCCTCAGTTACAAAGTGGTGCGCATTTAAAAGCGTTATAAGGGGGCACCTTATTAGTTTAGAAGCTGAGTCCAAGAAAATGCGACAGGAATCCCTTTCAAGTCTATATATTGAACTAAGTGAATGTCATAAAAAAAATATTATGACACCCACAAGAATTATCTCGAATCAAATTAGGATAATAGAAAATAAAATAAATGAAATTATGATCTCTAAAATAAACAGAAATCTTCAATATATGAAAATAAATTATTATTATAGGGGAAATAAGGCCGATAAATTACTTACCAACAAAGTTAAAAATTTACAAAAAAATAAATTAATTACAAAAATAAAACAGGGAAATGAAATAATATTAGACCCTAAAAAAATTGGAGAAGTATTTAGAAATTATTATTACAAACTGTATAACCTACCAGTTATATCCTCACAAGAGGAGATCGATAGGTATTTTTTGAATATTCATTTGCCCAAGCTGGATGATCACCAATTAGGACAATTGAATATAGAGATTTCTTATAAAGAAGTTTTTGACGCTATTGATGATATGAAAAAAAATAAAGCTCCAGGTCCAGATGGATTTACAGATTCTTTCTTTAAAACATATAAGGATAGGTTGATTCAGAGAATGGTTGATTGTTACAACCTGGCGATGACTACAGGTAATTTACCTAAAGAACTGCTGGCCGCAAATATTTTACCTATTTTAAAAAATAATAAAAACTCAGAAGAAATCACTAATTATCGCCCAATAGCTTTATTAAATAATGATTATAAAATTTACGCTTCTATTATTGCTAAAAGAATTAAGAATATAATCTCCGCCCTGATCTCAGAAGATCAGGTAGGGTTTATACCAGGTAGGTCGTCTTCTAACCATATTAGGAAGATATTAAATATATTCTCTAAGATCCATATGAACAAAATTCCTTTTCTAACGATGGCCTTAGACGGAGAAAAGGCTTTTGATAGGGTCAGCTGGAATTTTATGAAAGCAACTCTTAAAGCTTTTGGGTTTGCAGGGCAGATTATGTCGGCAATTTTGGCTTGTTATTCTGTACCATCCAGCAGGATTGTCGGGGGCAGGATTAAATCTGATTGGTTTATGGTTTCGAATGGTACCCGACAAGGTTGTCCTTTATCCCCGCTGCTTTATATTTTAACTGCTGAACCTTTGGCATATGAAATACGAAATAATGTCGAAATATCTGGGTTTAAAAAGAGAGATAAACATTTTAAGATATGCCAATATGCGGATGACACTTTACTAACCTTAACTAATCCAACTAAGTCAGTAGTAGCAGTCATGCAGGTAATTGAAAGATATAGCCGACTGTCAAATTATAAACTGAATGTTCAAAAAACGACGGTATTACCCTTCTATATGATAGAGGAAGATTATCAATATTTAACTAAATTTTTTGACTTTAGATGGGAAAAAAAGGGTTTTGTTTATCTGGGGATTAATATAGTGAAAAATCCTGGTAATATAATGTTGGCTAATGTAATCCCTTTGATTGGAGAATGTACTCATTCGTTAAAACAGTGGAATTCTATGCAGTTATCCTGGTGGGGTAGGGTTAACTTTATTAAGGCATATATTTTCCCTAGGTTCATATATCTTTTGAGGATGATTCCAATACAGATGCAGCCCCAACAACTAAAACTTATAAATAAGATCTTTAGAGATTATGTATGGCTTCAGAAGAAACCCAGATTAGGCCAGGATCTTTTATATATGAAATATAAGCATGGAGGTATTGGGTTCCCAAATATTTTTTTATACCATCAAGCAGCTCAATTAATGCACACCCTTCCCCTAATCAAACAAGATAAAATCTCACAGAATTGGTTTGAAATAGAGGGGGAAGATATTACTATCCCATATAATATTGTAGAATTAATGTGGCCCTTAAGAAATAAAAGTCCAAATAGAAATATAGGCTGTTTTACGGACAATTTGATAACAAAACCGCTAGTAAAATTTTGGTCTTATTTTAAAAATCAATTAGAACTAAAAAACAAAATATTACCAGTTTTGCCCTTTAAAAGTCTAGAGGTCTGGATAGAAAATTTGAATATAACAGAATGGCTTGGTAAGGGGATCAAAAAAATAGAGGATATACTAGAGGGGAGTAGGATTATTTCCTTTCCAGAGTTACAGAGAATTTATGGTCTTTCTTCTTCACAGACTTTTAAATATATAAGGATCAGGAGCTTTTTACAAAGTTTCCTTGGCGGTATTTCAAAGTCACCTTCAGTTGCCAAATTAAATGCGTTGATAGATTCAGAGAAGGATATAAAAATATTAACTAGATGTGTAGTGATTATGAAAAGCATAAAAGGGTTTGTCCAGCCCTTAGCAAAAAGTAAATGGGAAAGAGATCTCTCAATAGAAATTAATATAAAGGATTGGAATAAGGCCCTTCATACAGTCTACTCGCTGGTACATTGCTTAAATATCAGGGAGGCTCATTATAAGCTTTTAAACTGTTGGTATATGACTCCAAATAAGATTCAGAAATTCTCTAAGGAAGAGTCTTCTAGATGTTGGAGATGTGGTAGCGAGGGGGCAAATGAATTGCATATATGGTGGGAGTGCCCTCCAATTAAAGCAGCATGGGAGCATTTTATGGGCCATATAAATACTCTTTTGAACATCACGCATATCTGGACCCCAGATACTCTGCTTTTACATTTAAATTTACCGCTACTGACTAAAGATAAGAAATGCCTATTGATACATGCTCTGATGGCCTTTAAGATGTCCATAGCCAAAAATTGGAA